AATCCCAACCAGAGAGTGGAAGAGACGGGATTATGCCCTGGCCATCCCTCTGGGGCATGATTTCTTGCTTTCTGTCTCTCTTTCTGGCAAGCCACACATACCCTATAACAAAAATCTCTGAAAAAATTTAAAAATGTTGCTCAAGTTTTCTCTCTTTTTAATGATATTCTGTCTAGTTGTTCATTGAGTTGTTAGAAGGATATTGAAGTCTCTGTGGCTTCAACTGTGAAACACAGAAGAAACTAATTATAGAAAAGTTATTTTTTACAATTGTCAAGTTTGTTCATGTGTTTTGATTTTTAAAAAATCATTCAAAATATCCTGACAAGTTGTCAAGAAAATAAGAAATGCACCAAGACCAATATTTCAGTTTAGCACAGGAATTTTATGTAATAAATAAGCATTAGTGTCAGATTTAGGTTTGAAGAGATTATGAAACCTGATGTCCTTGGATCACCACTTCAATATATCTGTAGCATAGAGGAGGCTGGAAATAAAGCATAAGGCTCACACAAAATGACAAGTCTGAACAGAGATCATAAAACAAAGCAGAGAATCCAGTTTTACAGTTAGCATAAGAGTGATTCATTAGGGACTAGAAGATGGTGTAATGATTATGTCTGTGGACTTCCACATAGTTGACTGTGGTTCAATGCCCAGACCCAGTGGCGTAAGACTCATGCTGGGTATGTGTGCATGCATGGCCAAAATTCCAAGAAGAAAATAAAGGAGAAGGAATTGTGGTGTGACCATCCTTTCTGGAGGGTGATTTCTCGCTTTCTGTCTCTCTGCCTCTCTGGTGAGGGCATGTAACCTCTAGCAAAAATCTCTCTCTTAAAAAAAAAAAAGTGAATCATTAATAAACCTGCCTCTAAGGTTGAAGAGCAGAGAAACTTGTTTGTTTCACTTAGTCAATGGAAGAAAATATGTTCCATGAACATTCTTACTGTACTGACCTCAAATGGATTTGTAACTCAAATTCCTGTCTCTGTGCTATATGTCCAGAAATTTTTGAGTGGAAAATGTCATCATTAAATGTTCTGTGACTTAGTAAGATGTCAGTCATCTGACAAAAGCAAAGACAAATTTTTTCTTTCTTTCTTTTTTTTTTTTTTTGAGAGAGAGATTTTTGCTACAGGGCACGTGCACTCATCAGAGACAGAAAACGAGAAATCCCCTCCCAGTGGGGATGACCACATGACAGTCCCTTCTCCTCTATTCTCTTCCTGGGATTTTGGACACTCACACACATGCCTGGCATGAGTTTTAAAGCCATCAGGTCCGGGACTCGAACCATGGCTGACTATGTGGGAGTCCAGCACTGTAACCAATACGCCATCTGCTGGTCCCAAATTTTGTCTAGAATACCAAAATTTGAACCTAAACACCAAGGAATTATTTCAGATAAAGTTCTAACAAAAGTAGTATCTCAATATCAAATATAAAACACAAAAATCCAGTTTTGATTAGTACATGAATCAGTAGAAGTGGACCACAAAATTTTACTCTGTTTTTAAGATATTGGAGTACAGATGAGCTTATAAATAAGTATGATGAACATATGTAAAAAAAAAAAAGTTTTGAAAATAAAAGAACTAAAACAATTTTTTAAAGAAAGCCAAAATAAAAATTTAGAAATAGTTAGAAATGAAAAATATATTAGTAAAACTTAACATTCTATAATGGGTTAAATTATTTATTAGACTCAGAAAAGCAATAATTAACTAAAATTTGAAGAAATTTCATGAAATATATCTCAGCAATACACGCAGAAGGAAAATATAAAGCATGGAGTACATAATGAGAGGACAGGATATCTAATAGCAGATCACTGGAAATAAGAATGGTGATATTTAACAAGATACAGACTAATTCTTTGAAACACAAGTTACTGTCTAGTTAGTGAGGGTAAACAAAGTAAGAACGTGATAATGTCAGACATTGTATCTATACAAGAACCCAGAAAATATTTAGATATGTATCATTAAAACACCATTAAAATTATTTTCACATGTCTGAATAAAAGCAAAGTCATTACTTTAAGGGAAATCAGTAGCTTCAGTTGCATGAAAAAAGTCTGAATTTAATTACCATACTTAACGTAATAAATATGTCACCTTGGGATTTAGAAAAATAAATGCAAAATAAATACAAAAAGGTAAGAGAGTTTTGAAAATAAAAGAACTAAAACAATTTTTTAAAGAAAGCCAAAATAAAAATTTAGAAATAGTTAGAAATGAAAAATATATTAGTAAAACTTAACATTCTATAATGGGTTAAATTATTTATTAGACTCAGAAAAGCAATAATTAACTAAAATTTGAAGAAATTTCATGAAATATATCTCAGCAATACACGCAGAAGGAAAATATAAAGCATGGAGTACATAATGAGAGGACAGGATATCTAATAGCAGATCACTGGAAATAAGAATGGTGATATTTAACAAGATACAGACTAATTCTTTGAAACACAAGTTACTGTCTAGTTAGTGAGGGTAAACAAAGTAAGAACGTGATAATGTCAGACATTGTATCTATACAAGAACCCAGAAAATATTTAGATATGTATCATTAAAACACCATTAAAATTATTTTCACATGTCTGAATAAAAGCAAAGTCATTACTTTAAGGGAAATCAGTAGCTTCAGTTGCATGAAAAAAGTCTGAATTTAATTACCATACTTAACGTAATAAATATGTCACCTTGGGATTTAGAAAAATAAATGCAAAATAAATACAAAAAGGTAAGAGAGTAACAAAATGGCAAAATAATAAAAAATATATAATTCAGAAAATATGCAATGCTAAATGTTGGCTTATTAATAAAAGATTAATGAAAAGAAAGAAAATGGAGAACAAATAGCCAAATTCATCAAAAACACAAAGAGAATATTCAAAATGAATCAGATTAGGGCTGAAAATACAAAGAGAGTTCCAGTTGGTGGTGTGGTGGTGAAGGTGCCTGGATATTCTACATGGCTGACTGGGCAATTTGTGTCCTGGACCCAGTGCTTGAAAAACATGCTGGGCACGTGTGCAAGAGTTTCTGAAATCTTAGGAAGATACTGGAAGAGAAGGGATTGCAGAGTGGCCATCTACTCTGGCAGTGATTTTTCACTTCCCTCCTCTTCCCTCTCTCTCTTCTCTGTCCTCTCTCTGGTGAGCACATGCACTCTATAGCAAAAAACTAAACAATAACAAAAAAATAGAGATGTAATAGTGATTAATAGTAATAAAAACATTAACAAAACTTTTAGAATATTACTGAATTTTGATGAACTGAATAAATTTACACAAAAATATAGATTGATGAATAAACAGATAACTAAGATATTTATATAACATTTAAAAATTTTGACCAGTAACTAAAGATCTTCCCAAAATAATACATACATGCATAGTAGGGTCATAAAGCTTGCAATTTTATACTTCCACAAAATCCTAGAAAAAAAAATGACTACAACTGTTTTAAGAAGGTAGCATAAAATATAAAATAAAATTAGGTGAGGACTTTATAAATATGGAAAGTAATGGGCCTAGTTCACCAATAAAAATACAAAATATTCTAGTGAAGACAACATCAGAAAGTCCCCAAACCAAGTTACCTGACTAGTTTTATTCCAAGATCCAGAATTGGTTTATTGCTAGAAACTTATAATGAGAAAATCCATTTATCTAATTTTCTCTAAAATTGGCCTAGCCTGTTGGTACAGTCAGTAGCAAGCTAAACTACAATGCTAGAAACCACATGGCCAACTGTGGGTTTAGATGCCCAGATCAGCTTTAAAACATGCCAGGTGTATGAATTCATGGCCAAGATCTTCAGGAGCTAAGGGGCCAGAGAAAGGGGATTACAAATTGATAAGACCCTGTCAAAAATACTTTTCTATTTCTGTCTTTCTCTCTCATTTGTGTGCATTTCACGCATTTCTGTCGTGGATAACAAATAAAAAGTTCAATTACTCTAAAATTTTCATAGCTTGTTGATTAGGATTGAATTAAATGAATTGAGGGAGATGTCCATGCTTAAATTTCAAGTATTTTATACCAAACAAATTTTATTCATATATGTTAATTTATTTTAATTTTTATCCATTATTTGAGTTTCATGTTGTTTAAAAGCATTTTGACATTTTCTCTTTCTGGGCCTTGCTCAGTTCAGGTTACATTTATTATTGGATTTATGCAATTTATTTTATATTGTGTTATATTGCAGTTTTGCTGCTGTGACATTATTCTGCTTTCAACATATTCTTTTTATAGATAGACATTTATTTTCTACATTAATTTTATATATAAACTAACTTATGCATTATAATACTAAAACACACACACACAAGACGGTGTGTGTGCTCATTGGAAAAAGAGATGAGAGAGAAAGAAAAGTGAGCAATCACTTCCTGTCAGGTATGGTCATGCTGCAATCCCTTCTCCATTTCTCCTTTCTGGATTTTGGGCACCTATGCACACATGCCCAGCATATTTTTTAAGCTGCAAAGTCCAGGACTTGAACTATGCAATTGGTCATGTGTATTAAACTGCCTGAAAAAGTATGTCAGTGGCTGGTTCTATGATACTTTTCAATTGATTTTTTCACATGTTTTGTTATATAATTGTTTCATTAGAAAATAACCTTTTTTGATTTTTCCATTCTGATATTTGTAACTCTTATTTTATCATTTTACTTGCAGGTAGTTTTGGAATTCCTTTACTCTTGCAGTTGTTCTTACTTTGGAGCAGTTACATAGTGATTTTATATAATAATCAGTACAATGAGTATAATAAACAGGACTTATACTAAAATCATTATTAATTTATAAAACACATTTTAATCGTTTTGGTTGTGAATAAAGAATGCAATATATTTTGCAATAACTTTCTGAAATTCACAGATAAGTAATTTCTTAAAATAAAGTATTTCCTGTTATCACAAAGATTTCCTTCTAGATCTTTGGTTTTAAAATCAGATTTTCCTTTATTTGGTATTCTACTTCTAGAGCATGAGGCTTATTTGGGAGATATTATAGAATTACGATGGCATCTCGAAGACAGAGTTAATCAACTGGAACACATGGAGGAACAAAAGAAGAGGTTAGAAGAGGCTAATGCAAAGGTTCAGACAGACATAGACTACATGCAAACACATGGCCCTCTACTGAATTCAAAACGTAACCAGGAGCTGGAAGCTTTGAAGGAATGTTTTAAAAAAAAATTTTAGGTAAATGAAAAAGTAAACAGATGTGCATTTTACAAATTGTTTATTAGTTATATAAAAAAGTTTCAGCCATAGGAAAATAGCATAATTCTTTTCTTTTTTTAAACAATTATATAAATATAGATAGATAGATATAGATAGATAGATAGATAGATAGATAGATAGATATACATATATTTTTTTTTAATTAACCAGAGAAAGATAGAGACAATGAGTTTAAAAAGTGAGAAAGCAAGTTGTCAGTTTTAGGACTTGAACCATGGTCAGCCATATGGGAATCCAGAACCCCAACAACTATACCATCTGTTGGCCCCAGGAAAATAACCTAATTTTAAATGCTTTATTTTCACTGAAAATTGACCTATTTATTTCTTAGAGGATTTATTAAACTGTATAGTCTATTGCTGTTCATTTTGACTATGTCTTCTTCCTTTACCTTTATACTTAGGTGTATTAATAATACTTAGTCAACTAATAAACTTTTGAACATGTAAAACAGCCTGGTATTTTTTTAAAGGCATAATTGAAATGAGGAAGAATATGAGTCAAATGTATCAATCCATTTCAGTGAATAAGTCAAATCTTTTGAATGATTAATTAACATTTAGCACTATTTTTGGAACATGTTAATAAAAAATTATTTGTACCTGTCACAATACAACAAATCAAAATTTCTACTGTCTTTGTTTTTTATTATTTTTAAGTCTCTGTACATCTTTACAGCATACAAATGAATTTTGCCACCTTGAGTACACTGCATATTGGTCCAGTCAAAGCTATTATCATACACGTTTTTATTATCAGCAAACAATTTTCCATATTTGTGTACATTAAATGTTCTGCTCCTTTTCCTCCCTTGATTCCCTGCCCCCTTCCCATTGCCCACCCTTCTGCACTGTGTTTAGTTTGCTATTATTTTTAATTAAAAAAAAATGCAGCTTTAGCATTAATGATTCAAAATCAAACATAGTTAAGAAAAATTTTGCTTAAGACTTAAAGATAGGAAACAGGTTAGGATTCTGTCCAAACAATTGGTAGATACTAAAACTCAAAAAGCAAATATGGACAGAGCTAAAATCTAGTAACAATTGCACTATAGTTTTCTTCTGAAACCTTTTTTTCTCTTTTCATTCCCTCTTTTACCAAAGAGAAGCATAAACTAACTTATTTGAAAAAAAAAAAAAAGTTTAGTCTCAATTTGGTGTCTGTTATTTGCACAAAGCCCAATAAGAATACAAATTGATTTAGTTGGCTGTGCTGGAATCTTTCCTAAGGAACTTCAGATTAGATTCTTTAACAAACCTCCCCAGGCTACTGAGCCAAGTAAGGAATTCACCATCTGACTGTACTATATTTGTTTCTGATCATTTTAAAGTAAATAAAATAATTTGTTAAATGCTTGCAATGTTCCCCTCGACAGTTCCATTTTTCTCCCTCCCATTTTAAGACAAATTTCATCATGAATTTCATCTGTTTCTAAACAAAGTTTGTATAATTTTATATGTATACATGTTTTTTTGACAATATGCAGTATTTTTTCAAAAATCTTGTTGGAGAACCCACCCAGTTACTAGAAAGTAAGAAGACATCCCCCATGGGGAATGGCTACACCACAATCCCTTTTCCTCCATCTCTCTTTTAAGGATTTTAGGCAAGTACACCTCTCAAACTGCTAGCTGCAGGACTCAAACCGTGTTGTCAGCCATGTGGGATCCAGCTGTCCTAACCCTCATGTCACTGGCTGGCCCTGTAGTACTTTTTAATTACACAGTGTCATTCATACATTGTATAACTCTCTGCAACTTATTATTTATTTATTTCTCTCAGTACACTCTCCTGAGAGAGGAAAAGTGAGAAAGCATTCCCCTAAGAGTCTGTGGTGGAAATATGGCAGCCATAGCTTAGCTGGGCTGTTAACAGAGAAAATTTCTTTTTTTTTTTTTTTTGAAGAGGTTTTCGCTATAGGGCGCGTGCGCTTGCCAGACAGAGAGAGACATAGAGACAGAAAGCGTGAAATCACCCCCCAGGGGGGATGGTCACGCCGCAATCCCTTCTCCATTCTCCTCTCGGGATCTTGGGCATGCACGCACCCGCGCGTGGCGTGAGTTTTAAGCCATCGGGTCCAGGACGCGAACCGTGGTCGACTACGTGGGAGTCCAACAACATAGTCATTACACTAACTGCTGGTTCCCAACAGAGAAAATTTCTACAGAGACTGGCCTATACTGTACCTGCATCCTTGGGTCATTATTCCCCCTCGTGTGCCACCTCTCTTTTCTCACTCAGAGGCTCAGTCCCCAAACTCCCACCACCCCCTTTTCAGTGTGTTGGCTTTGCAACAGACGGAAGGTTGAGAGAATACATTGGTGCTTATGACAGAATTAGATGCCAAAATTTCCACCCTGAGAAAGTATTGAAATAGACATACAGATTCATTGGAATTGCTGGATGAAATATAAGCAGATTTTTGTAACAAGGGGAAAGAGCTTAAATTCCTAGATTACATGTGTAAATAAATATGTTATTGTTTTAGTTGACTCTAATTAGCAATGACAAGCCTGGAAAAAGTAATTAGAGAAGAGCATGTGTGTTATATAGTACCTTGAATGCTTAGCCAGAATCAATTTACTGGTTGCTACATGTTTAGATGTCTATGTAAGATGACAAAAAAAGAAATGGAAAAAATCCTTAATTTTGATCATTTTCATTCTTAATCTTTTTGTTCTTGGAATTGCCAATATATGCTACTATTACTTTTCAATGGAAGCAGTAAGTTTAATCTCCCCATATATTGGTTTGGATTCTTGCTTGGCCTCCTATATTTTTGTAATTCATCTTTTGAAAATAATGTGGAAGGAGAATCAACCAAATACTTGCTTCTAACTTTCATAGTATTAAGGATATTATGTGTTTTGGTGGAGAGAATTTCTGGTTATGTCCATTATCAACCCACTTTACAAATCACAATTAGATTTGCCATTGCCGGTACAACTATGTTGATGGAGAAATGTGTGAGTGTCGTCATTGTGGTTTTGGTCATGCTGATTATTATTTTTTTAAGAGAGATTTTTGTTGTAAGGCACATTTGCTTACTGGAGAGACAGAGAGACAGAAAGCAAGAAATTACTCTCCCCCATAAGGGGCAATTCCTTCTCCTCCATTCTCCTCTCAGAATTTTGAGTATGCATGCATATGCATCCAGCGTGTTTTAAGCTGCCAGGTCTGAGACTCGAACTGCAGTTGACTACATGGCAGTTAAGTCCAGTGGCATAACTCTTATGCCATCTGTTGTTCCAATGGTCATGCTGATTATTACATGAGAATGATGTCTTTCCTAGCTATTGCACATTTACTGATTTTTGCAGTCTTCATTTTTTGTTTCTCATTGGAAACTCCACCAAATCCAATTGCTTTTACTTATAATTTTTTTGTTTTGTTTTGTTTTGATTAATTTGCCTGATAACTGACCCTTTCTTTGACATTTATTTTAGTGGACTTTCAGTAACTGAAAGGTAAAACTCTTTTTGTGCCAAGGAAGAATTTGCAGAAGACCTTCAATCATTTTCACTAAAATGATTGACCTTTTTTTTTATTATTATTATTTCAGCATTTAGACTTACAGATGCTTATCTCTGGTTTTTAGTTAATATCAGGCTTTTCTATTTTTCAGAATTTTCTGGATGAGTTGTCTTATCAGTCTTTTCTATACTCTTTGGGAATTCCATAGTGAATTAAATGACTGCCATAAGGTGATTTTTAACCAAAGAGCAGGTAACAACAGCCTGAATAGAACCATGGCATCCAAACAGATGTGTCATTTTTCTTAATTTCATAGGAGTTAGGTATTCTTCAGTCTTCTTGAAACAGTGATCTTGGGAGCTATTTCATGGCAGCCCATAAATGAAATCTTCTTGAGCATGTTTGCAATTGCTTTGCTACCAGAATCCATGGCTCATGGGTTCTTCCATGAATTGGATAATGTTTAGGAAGAGCTCCTGTTTAATGTACTATTGTGATTCCCACCACCTTCTGCAATTTTGATGGTCATCCAACACTTCTTCCTCCAGAACAATTACAGAAGGTAAATTTGAGTTCTACTGACAGGTTTAACATTTTTCAAAGATTTTTTTTTTGTGTGTGACCATGTTAGAAGTGAACTGTCTTTGGATATTATACATTTGAAACTGAAAACTTTCCTTGAACTGTAGACTGTGGTGGGACGTACATTTTATACACATGTTTTGTATTATGGTGGGTACCCCATAGTACAGGAGAGTGGGCTGTAGCAGGAGGCATACTATGCCTCGGCACACTTTAAGAATGGTGAAAAGAAAAGAATGGTTCCTTCTGTTCCTAGCGTATTATATTAGACAGTGAGAATCCAACCCCTTGGGTGAAAGAAGTGAGAAAAATTATCAGCATATTGCAGTTGCAAGTAGCAGAGAGGACAAAAACAGTGGATACTAGAGAAGCTGACCCACCACAGCTGGGTGATGTTACAAAAATTGGGTGGAACGTAGATGGAATTTTAGTCATAATATCTTCTGGACTGAAAAGGGTTGCACAATGAAAGCAGTATATGGTGTACGCAAAAGGTAGAGTGACTATAGTCTTCATTTCCCCACGAGAAGTTATGTGGCCAAGCACTGGGATGGACACTTCCCTCATATTGTAAACCCACTAGTGCATTTGAAAGCAAATTGGTTATGTGGGCTGAACCTTTTTTGGAATTGCATAACTTGTTATAGGTGCTTGAAAAGGTTAAAATTGAGTCGATTTCCTATTACTGGGCTGGATGTGGGGTAAAGCTTCAAGCTTATCAAATTTAATTTGGGCATCAAAACAAGATATTGAAGTTCATACTATCAGTGATCATAACTTGCCTTTCTTTCTCTCTTCTTTCTTTCTCTTTCTTTCTCTTTCTTTTTTTCTCTCTCTCTCTTCCTTTTTCTCTCTTTATCTTTCTTTCTCTTTCTTTAGTGTGGAAAACATCTTGCTGCTTC